GCCGCCGCCGCGGTTTGGCTTATTAGCCGCCGGCGGGCGGGCAGGCGGGCGGAGCGCGCAGGGCGGAGGCAGCGGCTGCGCTGGGCCGGGAGGAGGCCGACGAGGGTGCGGAGCGGCCCCGGCCGGGCCCACGGGGGGAGATGGCGTCCTACGTGGATAACAGCTTCCGCCAAGCGGTGATGAAGAACCCCGCCGAGAGGACCCCCCAGGTGAGACTCGCCGGGACTTGGCTGGATTTGTGCCTCGCAGGCTGCGCCCTTTCCCGTTCCAGTCTCCCCTTCCTGACACGGTTGGCCCCGCGCACCCCACTTCTCGCATTAGGACCCCTAACTTCCCATGGCGTTTCATCTCTGTATCTTTTCCCCTGGTCGTCCTGGGTTTATTTTTCCCTCTCCTTGATATTCTCCTTTTCTCTGCCCTCCCCATTACTGACCTTCCCCCTACGTTTGCTAGGCGGAGGAGGGAATTCTCCAATTAGCTTCTCCTCTTCCCAGTGGTACACTAGGGCTTCTGAGTCTCGGGGGGAGGGGGGACTCACCTCCCCGTGGCCAGCTACTCCCGCCGCCCTGGCTGCAGGCCCCTTTCCTTCCCAGGCTTGTGGCCCCCTTTACCTTTTGAGTTCTGTGGTGTTTGGAAAGGTATAGGAAGGAAACTTGTATAGCTCTGCGAAAGACTAATCCGTGTTGACCTTCTAAAGTAAAACATTGGGATGTTTGTGTATTTAGTATTTTGCTTCTTTGAAAAAGGGATGCTGCTTTCCAGTGCAGGGGAAGAAAAGTTGATTAGCTAGCTTAGTGCCTTTGGTTTAAATTGCGGGCATAACTGCAGAGCAGGCATATTCAGATACACCCCCGGAAAGGGCACCCTGCGGATTCTTTTGGTGTTGCACAACCTTGTCAGAATTAGATAAGTTTGTTAACCTTTATACGTTCGTTTACCATCGGGCTTATTTTTCCTTTTTCTTTAAGTGGAGTTGTTGCTGATGGTGTCGGATTTGGTCGCTTAAAGTTGGACTGGAGAGGGGGAAATTGTATAAAAATGTGGTGGTTAGATTTTTTTTTTTTTTGCTTTTAGTTGCTGACTGGCTAATGACGCATATTCCTAAGCATTGGGATGGTAACTACAGGGGATCCTGCTGCCAACCCTCTTGTCAAATAAGCCCTTCTGATCCTTGGGACCATCAGACATTTAGGATCTGATGCCTGAAAGAGTTGCTTCGCTGGTTAGGTGTTGGACGCCATCTGTTCATACCCAAATGCTCTCCTTCTCTTATGTTGATTATTATTATTTAATGTGGGGAGAACAGAATAAAATAGAATCTTTCACTGGCTGCCATTGGACAAGGCCCAAGAATGGCACCTGGTACCGGTTTCTGATTTTTCATTTTTCCTGATGGAGCCATCACATCTGGGGGATCATAGATCACACATATTTACTAAAAGAGTGGAAGATGTGTGATAATTTTACGAGAATATTCATTTCACTGTGTCTCCGGAAAGTTCCAATTCTAAAGGATTATTTTATCAAAACCAAGCAGTGTCCTGCTTTGATCTTGTCCCTCCGTGGGTGTTGCACTGCCTCCCATGTGCCTTCCTCCTCTACTGTTTGTTTTAAAATTGTCAATTGAATCAGTCTTCTGCATGTGAAAATGCATGTTGTGTGATGGAAAAGCAAATTTCAGTGAGATATGTCAATTCCTTTCAGTGTTTGAAGTGCCAAATGAAATCATACAAGTTGAGAATATTACAACCCAGCAAGGCAAGTTGAGAATATTAGAACCTAGAAAGGCGGGTCAGAAAACGATGTCATAGGCCTTTAGTGGAAATTAGAGGGTGGGGGGTGGGGAGAGTTGTGCCTTTAGTTGATTAATTAGAATAGCAATGACTTAAAGCCTATCAGTTGGGGGGGGGGGGTGCACCAAAGAAGAGACAAAACCTCCACTGTGAAAGCATGTGGATTGTGCCAGATAAATGAACTGTTAAACTTTCCTTTTCTTGTGCCAGTTGTGTAGAATAGAGTAAAAACTGACCTAACATAGAACTTGGCCTGATTCAGAAGTGGGCCAGTTACTACTAACACTGCAAGATGAAAGCTTCATTGATAATCTGAAAGCACATTTCCCTCCACCAAACCTTCATAGGAAAAGTAAACACAGAGAAAGCTATCAAACATTTTGAACATTGTTAAGTTTCAGCCGTGTTAACTTTGATGTTCATTTGGTTATTACTAACACAAACGTCATGTTTGCTTATTATTGTGTTAAAGTAGCTTGAAATGTGAATGTTTTCCCATCCTTACCTGGCTTGTCAAAAATAATCTTGTAAAAGTTTGATATGGTCCCAAAAGTAAAAAACATGTTTTGGTAGAAGGTGCTTTTTATATTTTGTACTATTTTCTCATTCATGCTTGAGAGTTAGACTTTTGTAATATGAAGAAAACAAATGTATTAAATAAACTTGGTATCATGAAAAGAAGGATGTGAATTAGGAAAGTTTTGCTGTCATGCTTCCTTCTGTTTTTCGGGATAGACTTGATAAAGGAGTTCATATGATTCTCGTTACAGGCAAAAGGAAGATTCTATAAAAGAATAGAGGAAATACATAATTTTTTTGTTGTTAAATTCAGGTTTTGTTTTGTTTTAAACCCCACTATCCCAGTTTCTCTCTCAAACTCTTGAAGGCATAGCTTTGTATTTGGGTCAATCAGTTGCCTACAAGTTAACAGTGATGTTACTAACGTAACCTAAGATGTTAACTAGAAGAGAATTTGGGGGTGGGGAGAGTCCCAGTATAAACATAGAGACTGCAAATTAGGGAGCTTTTCATGCACACCTGAAAAATAGGAACCTATTTAGCCACATCATTAGAGAGGCAGAATGGTAAGGTGAAAAAAAAAAAAAGCCACCTGAATTTTTAGCCAAATCATGCATAGATTTAAGAGTCTGTCACTCTTTCATCTGATATTCTGAGAGGATGAAAAAATCTTTGATCCAGTGTGTGTCCCACATTATGTGTCTGGAAACCTGGCTAAATTTTAGTCAATGGGGCACTGTATTCTAAATAACCCCTTGAAAATAATGTACACTAAATGTTCTATTGATATTTTTCAGGGCACCTCTGTTGAAAAACAGGACTCTTAAGTAATTGCTTTATTAAACTATTTGGGTTTATGCTTTAATCATTTAAATGAGAAGCTTGGTCACTAAAGCAATTTAGTAAAGTAAAAGATGTAAATAAATTGCAAGCAGCTTTATCCCCCAAGGCTTTAAACAATAAAATGCTTTTTCTAAACCATTTTATTAACTTGTTGAGTTCAGACCCTTTGTAGTTGCTTCTGTAGTGTTTATATGCATGTTTTTAGTTTTTCAGGTGAAACATCTATTGCCTTATTGTTTTCTTTCAAGATCTAATTTAGTGTGTTTTTAGGTAGTTATAAAATTAATTTTTTAAAATGGTATATGTAAAACAGCCACATCTCATTTCTTCCTAGTTAATAATACTACTTTGTCCTCACTATTGAAATTTTTTGGGCTCTTGCACCTTTCGATTTAGATGTTAACTCATGAATTTTTCAGCTGAGAGTTCATAACAGTGTTAAGACTTAATTCTTTGCAAAGTCACTTAGTCATAATGAGAGGGCTGAAAAAATACCTTTTGCCCAGAGAACTTTAAATTATGAGAATCTGCACAAAAGAATATCTCTGGTAAATATTTAACTTTTGAATCTAGTGGGAAGAATTGTGTTTATTACAGTTACATTTTCCATTTGAGGTTCTTTTTATCATTGTTTATGAGCAGTTTCATATTTTCATTTGATAACTTACACTTTGATTATATTTTAGCTCATTTTGGGGCTCTAGTAGTAAATATTTGGTTCTTATGTAGTTTTTGTTCAAAAAACACAACTAAATGATTTTTTTGCAATTAAAAAAAATTTTTTTTAACGTTTACTTATTTTTGAGAGATAGAGACAGAGCACGAGTGGGGAAGGGGCAGAGAGAGAGGGAGACACAGAATCTGAAGCAGGCTCCAGGTCTGAGCTGTCAGCACAGAGCCCCACGCGGGACTCCAACTCACGGAGATCATGACCTGAGCTGAAGTTAGACGCTTAACCGACCGAGCCACTCAGGTGCCATGACTTTTGTGCAATTTTGAAAAGCATGTTTCACTAAGTAATGTGTGTTTGGCCATAAGCATTTCCCTTTTCTAACAATGATATTTGAATTTGTAGGTTAAAAAATATACACATTTTTAACTGAAATACTAATTTCAGACTGTATTAGCATGTGACTTTGAACGGGTGAGTACTTAAATTTCTGGTAAAAATTAACATTCTTTTGTAATATTAGTAGAAACTTAGTTGCCTTCATATAAGCTTTTAAACATTTAGTAATTAACAGTTCCATAATTAGCTTTGCATATCTTGGCTGAGATTCAAAATGAATGTCTCCAACTGCATTGCTGTATGTGGACTGGTTTAATGTAGTTCTTCTCAGACCCTGGGCTTTAACAGAACAGTTACAAACAATAATAATAAAATAAAACTAAGAAAAGCAAGAGGACTACTCAGTTGCTAACTTGTTTCATTTTTTCCCTTCAAGAAAGGATGTAAAACAACAAAATAAGCCATAACCTTCTATTATCATTTTATTAAAGTCTTGCCCTTTAATAAGAAAGGGAGGATACACTATCATTCCAAAGCTTAGTTCTTGAAATCAAAAATTCTTTGATTCATAAGAAAACTACCTATTTGTGGTTTTATGGTTTTTAATATTTCTGTGGGTGTGAAAACAACTTTAGGTGGATTTTGTGGGGAGTTAAATGATAACATGAGGTCTACCTTTGGTGATATTTGAAATTCAAGTCACATATAGTAACAGTGGGATATAAATTGACTATCTGAAGTAAGGATATAAAAACCTTTTAAAAACACAGACTGTGCTTCTTATTTGAAAACTTGTTTTTTAGTTACTTATTTTGTAAAATAAGTTTTATAGGTAAGGAAGAATTGTAATTACCTGAAGTAACTTTGATCTAGACTAGAAAGATAAGGAAATGTGGTGATAGTTCTTTGATATCTGAATTTTATGAGCCATTCCCTCTCCTCACCTTGTTTTTGGCACCAGACAATTCTCTCATCTGTAAATGAGGATAATAGCTTCCTGAGGTTGTTTTGTGGATTAAGTGAAAGAAAATACACTTACTATTTA